CGCACCGGATCGAGAAAATGTAGGACAATGAATGAGATTTTCCCTCTAAATCTTATTCAATTTCACGAGCTGTCATAAGTGTACATTTATGTTAAACAGATATCAAGATTACCTCTTTGTGCACACATAACTGTAACAAGTGCAACCAACAATCATACGCGCATGCATTTGTGGGATACTAGCCCATCTTATTCAGATTGTTCAATTTACCTGCTGAATCCATGCCTCCATAGTACAAAGCTCAATACTCAAAGAACGCTTTGCCAACTCGGATGAACACCTTCACGATTCTTGCTGCCTCTCCTCTGGGAAGCAAGTCTGGCTTCTCTCTTAAACAATTTCATTGAGCGCTCCTCTATCCGTCTATGCAGCTGTCGCCACCCACTGTATTCTTACCTGTATGTATAAGCATTGATGCCGTTATCATACAGATTGGCGTTAGCTAGGATTTTTTCCGCGGGGCGGGGGGGGCACTGAGAGGGAGGGGCCTTAACATTTTCGGGCTCGAGCCCACAATATATAAACTTTTCTTTGTATTAATACTGTTCTAACGGCATTGTTTTTAATTCAAATTTTTTTTATTAAGCATGAATTTCAGTGGGGAGGGGGCACATGGGCAGGCCACAGAAAATTTGGCCCTGCCCCCCCCCCCGTAGCTACGCCCTGTTATCATTACACACATCGTACACATAAATTAAACACAAATGAATGTTCTAATGCTCTTCATTCTCACTAATACAGGCTGACCAAAAGTGCACCCAAACGTCCAACCCAACTGTTGGATCAGTTCCAGTAATGCCTGAGTAAATCGAGATAAGATACTCGATACCGCTACATAGAATATCTTCACCGCTGACGCTTAAAGTAGTAGCATGGTATAAGACGTACCGGCCCACAGGTGGAACGTCTTCTTTCAGGGGTGGCTGCAAAGCGTTGCCTCATATTACCAGCTTGCTGACTATGTCCAGCTCACGACCGTACATGGGGTCAGTGCTGCCGCATACCTCTCCCTCTGCCCCAGCTCAAGGTAGGCCCAGCCCTCTCTACTATGCTGAGCGAACTGCAGGCCGCCGCCCTGGTGGTGTGTAGCCCGGTTTAAAGCGCTCCCAATGGAACGCACCGCAGTTGCCTACCTGCTGAAACACGTATTTCGATGCAAACTCACAGCCACAAACTTAAATTGGAATGCATAGATTTGAAGCCTAATGGAATATTCGAGGAATAAACCCAGTATACGCGTTAGAATAGGCATTGTAAAGTATGGTGAAAAACCTTCAATGAAGTGGAAGCACTTATTATAATATGTTTCATCGGTGAATGGCCAATAATTTAATTGATAAAAAGTTTTAGCATCTTTCGGCTTCTAATCACCTTAAACTAAGCTACAACATATTCCAAAATGTAATTGATTTAGAGTACTGCTTCTTACATACATTGACTCACAGTACTTTTATCACAAACCCTCAATCGTGTACAATCAAGATATTTTTTCAAATTCTGCAAAGTCTATCTATGACTTCTTGCTTTCGTGTATGAGTCCAAAATTATAGTTTTCTTCTTACAATGATGAAACAGCAGCCCTATATCCTGCCCACTAATCTACCTCTTACACCTGTAAACGATATAGACAGATTATAAAGCAGCGTTGTTCTATACGTTGTTTCTGTCGTTTCATAAATTCATTACATCAAGAGACCAATTACCCCCTTGGAATTACATCCACATTACAGCTCATATCTAAACCAGCCAGAATTTTGCCCTCAATTTTTTTTTAAATATTGATCAACTCTTTCAAACAAATCCGATGACTAGTGCTGTGTTGAAAAGGTTTTAAGTAAGTATTGCATACTAATTAGTTGCCACCATGAATCTGTTCAAATTTAGTTCACATATACTGGCAGCCATGCATATTTATGATTCTAGATCCGGACGCGACGAAGAATAAGAAGTTAACATATCATACCAACAACCAAAGTCTGTGAGAAGCCCATGAGGAAATTTACCCCCCCCCCACACACACCCCAACAGTCTGGAATTTACTTTGAAATTCAAGCACTGTAATGTTAGGTCTATGTACCATCTATGTGACACCTCTCCAGGCAGCTGTATGTCTCTATCAGTTGAAACATCTGCACCACTTTGTTGAGGCGACGAACGAACGTGTCAAACTTGCCGAATATGTACGACTCGCTAAACTCAAACGATTGTTTGCTGCCAGCAGCTGCTACTGTCTTGCGTGTCTTCTCATAATTATTTCTGTGCAATACATACACATATATATATGTTATATATACTATATATATATATAATTATATATATATATAATAATATACTATATATATATGCAAACTAGTGCAGCAATTGCCAACTTCGTCTTGCACACTTTTGACAAATAAAATTATTTTCTTTACTCAAGCTGAGTATGGATATGGAAGATTTGCAATGTTGCATCAAATATTCTTACAAAATATAGAAGAGGACCTAGTTACTCAGAACAATCACAATGTCATTTATAGGATGGTAAAAATTTGTTTAAGCGTATATATTTTACATTTTAACGTTCTGATATAATGCACATGTGCATAGCAATATTTATAAAACTATTAAATGTTCTGGCTCAGATGTATCAAAATAACGTTTTTCCTTTCCCTTCGTTCTTATTCACACATAAACTAATACTTGGATTTTAATAACTAACTTTTTGCCACGTTGAACACCTTTAAGCCATGTCAAACACCTCATAAAATGAAAACAAAATATTTTCAAATCTATCCACATAACTTTCCTAATTGATTATGTTTGACTCCATCTCTCTCAGATACCTGTAGGCCTGATGCAGGCTGCCACAGGCGTCAATCTTCTGGAAGAGTTCCTCCCTGGGCTGAGACCACACTGTGTCAACATCGAAGTTTGTGACGTAATTACGACACGATGTTATCATCTGGTTTGTGACCTGTGAAGATTACGAAACATTAGAGACCCCTTAATTCATACGTATTTATACTACCGATGGACTCGTCTCTATACCACTTAGCATGCTTCCTATACATGAATTAAAAAAATATTAGTGTTTTTTTTTCATTGCTACAATTTCCACAACTTCTACAGTAAGGACTTCTGATGAACATAACAATGTACCTTGACTAAGAGAGATGTCATTCGTTCTGAAGTATTGTAGTAGCGGGATATAGTGAACACCATTCTCACTGCATTCATCAACCCTGGTAGACTCGCTACTATTTGCAACTGAAATTGATAAATAATATACCGCTTTCACTCCATATTGAATATTACCATCCCCTTCAATCACAGAGATGTCACAACCATAATACTGACAGAGATATTCACTGACACACACACCCACACACACACACACCCACACATGCACACCCACTAGATAGGCAAATAGTTAACCTAATAATAAATAACCTAACAAACGTTTAGACCATAAGTGCCTCGACCACAGTATCTTGCATGATAAAAACATGCGCTGTCCCACGCTTCAAGAGAATGTGTGGGATCGCATGGGTGTCAACAGTTTGTGTTTATCTTAAAGGGGTTGAAAGTCAGGAACAAAGGGAAATACATCACTCAATGCTCGTACAGGGTTGTTGCTGTACAGTGGCTCACAACAGTCATCTATCGTGTACAGAAACCTGACGTTATCTTTGGCTTCCAAAGCAGAGTCTATGATAGCCTGCTCAATGCGAGCCCAGTCCTACAATAAAGATCAGAAAATGAAACTTTAAGGTTCACTTGCATAAAGACATAAAGATGGAATTTTCCATCTGCATTAACAGCCACAACGATTTTACCACTCTACCGGAACCCAACCAAGCAAAACCCTATCTGCCCATAATAATTAACTAGAAAGGGCAGTTGTCGCCAACTACATGTATCCCCCGTGTTCTCCCCAAGATGTGTAATTATAAAAAGTTTGGTCACGCTAGGTCAATTAGGGGCAGAGTTATAGAGTGGAAAAGAAATATGATGAAGGTCAAGGTCAAGGTCAAATAAAGGTTGCAGTGACCTGGTTTTGGTACGCGACACACACTCTCCCCAAGATATGTAAGTACCAAGTTTAGTCGTGCTAGGTCAATTAGGGCCCGAGTTATAGAGCGGAAGGGAAATATGATCAAAGTCAGGATCAAGGTCGAATAAAGGTAGCAGTGACCCGGTTTTGGTATGCTGTCCACCTTCTCCCCAAGATGTGTAAGTAGACCAAGTTTGGTCACGCTAGGTCAATTAGGGGTCGAGTTATAGAGCAGAATGGAACATCTCTGCGGCGGACCGAGCAGCAGTACAGACATGAAACCATAGTATCCCCGCCGACTTCGTCGCGAGGGATACAATAATGCATAAACAAATAGGGACATGCACCCAACCAATCACACACGTGCACACATGCACGCATATGTGTACCTAAGTAATCACACACAATGACATACACCATGGTTCATACAGGACTGAAATTATTTCCAAGGACTTTTCAAGTACATTTTATCGGAAATTCAAGGACATTTTATCAGACATTTTATCAGACATTTTATCGGAATTCATACACAGAACAAAACATACCTGGATTAATTTATTAACCCCATTCATAACCACTGCATGTCACCTCTAAAACTTACCTGGATCACATTAATAAACCCTTCTAAACACTGTCACTTCTACTTTCTAGAACATATCTTGATTTACTGACTGATTTTACTGACTTACTGTAATTTGTGATCATCATTTAACTGTCCATCGTGTCTTTAGCTTTCTAAGCTCATTTAACGCAATTTTTATCGAGGTTTGCACATTATTAATGGTACAAAATTTCTTTTTATTACAGACAAGGATTTTTTCTAAAAATTCAAGGACATTTTCATTAAATTCAAGGACATTTTCATGAAATTCAAGCACTTTTCAAGCACAAAATCAACATTTACTAAATTCAAGTACTTTTCAAGGACTCCCCTCAAACTCAAGGACTTTTCAAGGACTGTGCGAACCATGTACACACACGAATGTATGCACACACAGAGACACACGAGCACACATGCACGCACGCACGTAAGCACGAATGCACGTACGCACGCATGCACTGATGCATGTACGCACGCACTCATGCACACACTCATGCACGCACGCACTCACGCACGCACGCACGCACATGCATAGTACACTAAACTACCTTCAGGAGCTTCGACTGCGCCACCTGCTGGCACTTTAGGGCAGCTTTCACCTTGCCACTTCTCAGCTCCTCCTCAAGAGCATTGAACTTGGCCATGCGCCTCTTCCAAAATTCGAGTTCGGCGCGAGGACCAACATTGTCCGACTCCCTGTGTATCTGCTCACTCTCTGTTAACACCTGCAGGTCAAAAAGTGCACGTTAGTCAAAGCCAGATAAAGAATGCGATATTCCCTAATATTAGAGAATGAGAATTAGAACTAGCATCCTCCAACACTTTCTGAGTGTATGAGTGCCATTCATAAATGGAGTAACTTTGAGGTATATATCTTAAACGTCCATAATTGTTATTATATGATGTTACAGCTCTATAAACAATATTGATTCACGTGAAAGTTACGTATTTAACACGCCTGTATTATTATACATATCCTAGTATGTGCACTTATCATCGCCTGACCATAGCAAGGTATGCACTTCCCTAGGACATAAATTTCACCATCATATGTAGCTGTCCCAAACTGGAATTACATGAAGGTATCGATATAAAGCATGAACATTTTGACAATCAGTTTCACATACCCACCTATTGCAAATATACACCTACCTGAGCAGAAATCACTTCCTATCTGGTGTCAGCATTAGGAAACAAGAATATTTTAAATTGACTACGTCACAAATTTTCTATGGTAAAATTTGTAAAATTTTTGTTGCCATTTTTTTACATTAAAAGTAGGAACTAACGGGACTAAACGTATCGCCAAATTCTTACCTGATAAGATTGTTTCTCAACAAGTTAAAAATCCAAAAAACATGGACGATTTGATATTATGATCCTGACATTAATTGCTTGCTATGGGCTATGTATGAGTCATGAGTGTATGTTTACATCAAACAATATAATAAAATAGGAAATATAATGCGGCAATTTAACCATAAAAAGTTAACAGAATTACTTGCATTTTGTGAAAAAGTGGAAATGTTTTTTTTATTTTTACTATTTACGGTGACGTAATCACTTTAAGAATATTACATGAATATGGGAAAATTAATGTGTTGATGCAGAAAGAAAGGCAGGTCTTCATGCATGAGCAGGGTACTATACAGGTATCACTAACTCTGACAGAAATTCTGAAATCCGAGACACTTTCGATCCCAAAACATCTCAAATAAGGGGGTAGCCTGTATTTCTCAATAACCGGAATGAAGAATTACGACTCATTAAATAAGTTCATTCGGTTGGTAGACTAATAGATCTAACTGGGTTAATTGTTACTCATCCGTGAAGATTGAAAACGTACAGCTGACGTTTCGTCACGTGTGGACCAAGCTGTTGACCACTACACCATCTAGTGGTCAAAACTGATAATCTTCAGTCAGCTTTGAGAAAGCCTCCTGATAGGAGGTGAAACGTCAGCTGTACGTTTTCAATCTTTACGGTTGAGTAACAATTAACCGAGTTAGATCTGAAGAATTACGTATTATTTGTCACCCTTACCTTGGCGATCTGTTGCATCCACATTCGAACGCACATATCTACTGCCTCCATCGCTTCCATGTTGCTACTTGTCAGCACAATTTCTTCCTTTGTAGTGAGCAGACACAGATCCACCTGGGCACAGTCAGGCAACACAACATTGTCCTGCAGGCTGTCACATGCTCCTGCAAAGGTCAACAGGTAAGTGAACAGTGGATTGTCACCTGTATACATTTTTGTTGGTTGCTAAACTTACAGATGTGATGAGCAGGGGCCCAAACGATAATAATATATTTCCACCTACGTGCAAGCAATTTATTTTGCATAGATGTGAAAAGTAAAAGCACACAAATAAGTGAACGAGACATTTCCTCCTCTGTCAGTCTGTTCTTGATGCAATCATTAATATCCCATCGGTAAATGAAATATATTAGATATCTATAACAGGGGTCGAAATTAGTTTGAAAATTTACAGGCCAGCCGGGCCTGTAGGTAAGGGATTTTACAAGCCCGCCATGCAAATTTTACAGGACCGCCAAGCAAATTTTACAGGCCGGGGACGGTTTTGCATGCTGGGGGTGGATTTTCTACAGGCCCGTTGGGCTTGCTAGTATTAGAAATGTCAGGCCCAAGCCTTAAAATACGGGCATCGGGCCTGCGGGCCGCTTAGGATTTCAACCCATGTATAAATTATACTCACCCTCAAGCACCCTGACAAAGGTGTCCACTGAGCTTAAAAATTTCTCAACCATTTTGGCACCACCTGAGATCTCCATCAGTGTGTCCCATCTACTGTGTCTCAGTACGGGGTAAAAAACGTTCCTGACAAGCATGCAGACTCCCTGTGCAAGTCCCACACTCCCATCCAGAACAGTGAGGTACACTTCCTAGAAACACAATAGAGTTAGACTATGCTGTGCACGACTTCCAGCCTGTAATTACTGACGGAGTGATAATAACAATGCCTTACACTGTTACACAATCATGTGTGAACACGACAAGCTTCAATCAAAAATGTATTTCATTACATTAAATGTATCCACTCTGCTCATCGGCCTATCTCGTACCTTGTGAATATTGGCTGAAGTGATTGCCTTGCTTTCATCTTGTCTGGAGAAGAGTGTGGCACGCCCATTCACCAATACATCATCTATACTGCTTGTGACGTACAAACGATGCCTATTGCCAGCGCGACTGTGCGTCCGCGAGACAACAGACACACTCCTGATTGTTTCACCCACACCTGTAACAAACATAAACCCCTGTATAACCCTGACATCTGTCTTTTATTATTATTTTATAGTAACAACACATCCAAACTAAAAGAATCTTGGTAGATTATACACATTGCATACCACCAATTCGCCTTACCCTCTTGCTCTTGATCTCGATGGTGAAACAAGATGTGCTTTGTTCCATCTACTGTGAAGAACTTGTCCAGTGTTGACATCTGTCAAAGGGTAAATAGATTGACCTAATGATCCACATATATATCACAACGTTCACATCATGTAATAATAAATAATATTTGGAATATAGTGACGTTTCTTTACAAATCAAAGTGTTAACTGTTAACAATAGGTTAGAAATCAACACAGTAATATAACCTGGTAATTATTTAAATTGGTTTACTTACACCATCTCCATCAAAATAGCAGTCTTCTATATCAGACAGCACAATATCGTCTGTCACATTTAGCAAAGCTTGCGATATATAATGATGTTTTTCATCAAGCAGATTTTTGTTGGCCTCCCTCTCTTCCTTAAGTCGTTGCTGAAATGCATCACAAGTGATATGACAAGTTGTCATTTAGTCCTATTAGTTATATTGGTCAGTACAACGTAACACGCACATGTACAACAGGGCACAAACTAACGACTGGTGTACATATACACTAGTGAAATTGGAATTTAAATCTAGTAAATGGCTAGCTTTGTTTCGGGGAAGGATATGTATATTTTCCAAAATTGGAACTTTACCATCCATCGTTTACAATTTTGTTTACAAGTAAGAGTGAACTTATGAAGTTATGTCTTTGGAAACCCCACTGATTCAATGACAATATTGTTCAGCAGAGCAAGAGCATCGGGAAGAGTTAAGACCCTTACCCTTTACCCTTTTACCCTTTACCCTTTCAACTTCCATTTGTTTATGTATAAACAGACAGATGAGACTGGCCCGGACTGCATGGCCCCAACCCTGCACATGGAGTTATAACTTATATGGTTCTGGTAGGGGCCTATTATATGACCGTTGAGCACTAGGCATACAATAATGTAAACCACATGTACATTCACAACTACATGCAATGTCTACGATGTCACACAATGTATACAAATTGAAATTACAAATTACACAATAGCATTGTCATTGTTCATAGTTATACAATTACAATACAATACATTACATACATACATACATACATTACATACATGCATGCACGCACGCACGCACGCACGCACGCACGCACGTACATTACATACATTACATTATTTCCTGACCTATTATTTAGATTCTTTACTGATGACCAGAGTTACATCATAAATAATATCAAATATTCTTATAATATACGCTATACCTGTCGCTCAATTACATTCAGTCTACCTCTGCACGGATCCACTACCACTGATACTGATATTGTTCTACTACGTGACGGAAGATGACTAACGCCAGTAACGGTATTATTTGTTGGCTTCAACATTGCAATCACTAAATCAGTTGCTTCACACACTATTTCGTAAGAGTTCAACAGTAAACCTCTGAGTAAACCACAGATAGCTGACACACAATCTGCAACACAAGCTTTACGCAAACGCAAATGAATATTTTATCGGTAACAAATGATTGGATGATTGAATTGATATACGTAAACACAACGAACGACAACTTTCTTCCATTGTACATGACTGCGCATCGTTTCGCATCGCGTGTGCGTACTGCGTACGTAGCAACCGGCCACGATGCACGAAGCAGTACGGATAGTCGGTTACCGGTCGTGTAAGCAACTTTTCCAACGCGATACCTGTCATACCTTACTGTTACATCGTCGGCATATATCAAGGCGTTACACCACTGATCTTATACATATTTACGCCTGATATATATATATATATATATATATATCATGCGCGAGGACAAGTTTCCCACCATGCTACAGGCCGGGTATCCATATGTTTTGTGGTATACATATGCCTACCACAATTAAATCACCATAATCAATACGTACATCATATTTCATACATCATACATCCTACCAGCATCAATAATGAATTTAATTAAAATTTCATCGGGGTTGCCTCAGATAGGGCGCCCTACCATTATTTCTGATTCACTTACGTCCGCGCATGTTACCTAATTCCTTCTTTCTTCCCCCGTTTTTCTTTATCTTCTTTATATATTTTTTCCCGCCGTTGCTACTTGAAAAAAATGTTGCGAGTGATAGCGTGCTGTACGTGCAGTCGCGTGTGTAATATACCTATATAGTGCGCCAATGAAAACATATAATATTACAATGTGTCAATGATGTAATATATATATGCGCGCGCGTGTGTGTGTGTGTGACTGTGTGTGTGTGTGTGTGTGTGTGTGTGTGTGTGTGTGTGTGTGTGTGTGGTGTGTGTGTGTGTGTGTGTGCTGTGGTGTGTTGTGTGTGTAGTGTGTGTGTGTGTGTGTTGCTGTGTGTGTGCTGTGTGTGTGTGCGAGGCGCGTAGCCAGGAATTTTTATTTTGGGGGGGCGCAGATGGCACTGAGCTACGGGCGTAAATGACCGTACCGAGGAGTGGGGGGCGGGAGATGCGGCGATAGCCATATACATACTAGGCAACGAGCCGTAAGGGCCCAACAATAATTTACAACACGAACCCCCGGCGCGCGATCGCGGCACGCACGGAAACATACATACACACATCACAGCAACAGGGGCGGATCTCAGATTTTTGAGGGTGTCGCAGGTAAGAAATAAATCAGGCAAGCTTTTTTTGCTTACTTTTTCTGGTGTTTTAAAAAGCTGCCGAGGCACTTTGGGGGTTGGGAAGATTTTTCCTTTAAAAATTGGTGCAGTTCTGAAGAGCCATCTGAGGCAGATAATTTTGATGTCTAGAAGAATGCAAAAATTTATCAAATCCGGTCCAGCCGACAACGCTGCGAAGCCGCTCCTTTTGCCCATTATCTTAAGTTTTATAACGAATTTACCATATATACCTAAGTAAGTTTATCTAAGAAAAACTAGCGCTAAACAAGATTTTTTCAAAAACTGGGGACATATATAAGGAGAAGTGTGTGTGTGTGCGCGCGGCGCGTAGTGTGTGTGTGTGTGCGTGCGTGGCGTAGCGTGCGTGCGTGCACTGCATAGTGTGTGTCTGTGGTCTGTGTGTGTGTGTGTGCGTGCGGTGCGTGGCAGTGCAGTGCGTGCGTGCGTGCGTGCGTGCGTGCGCGCACCGCGCGCGTGGGCGTGTGTGTATATTTTTTTCCATTTTTATTAGTGGTAAAAAGGGAGGGGTCACGCCACCACGGCACGCACAGCACGCACGCACAGCACGCACAGCACGCAAGGCACAGCAGCACACGACACACACACACACGGCCAGCAACGCATGATACATCACAGTGACAACATGCCACCACGCACACACGACACCGCAGCGCACGCCACGCACGCACGCACGCAACGCACGCACACAGCACACGACACCACACAGCATCACGTACATACATTTATAAGCATGCTACTAAATGCAGCGCACAATGCAAATTTTACAACTCTACGTTTGGGCACGTGCCGTAAGCCATGCCAGTGCTAGGGGGCTGCTGGGGAGCAAATGCCCCCCACGTAATAATTTATGAATATATTAAGCGCATTTTGGGCCAATATTTGAGGGCTCGTTTTGGGGGGCGACCGCCCCCCCAGCCCCCGCCTGCTACGCGGCCACTGTGTGTGTGTGTGTGTGTGTGTGTGTGTGTGTGTGTGTGTGTGGATGGTGTGCATGTGGTGTGTGTGTGTGTGTGTGTGGTGTGTGGTGTGTGTGTGTGTGTGTGTGTTGGGTGTTGCATGTGGCATGGTGTCCATGTGTGTGTCGTGGTGCATGTGTGGTGGCGTGCGTGCGGCGTGCGTCGTGCGTGCGTGCGTGCGTGGCGTGCGTGCGTGTGACGTGCGCTGGTGTGGTGTGTGTGTGTGTGGTGTGTGTGTGTGTGTGTGTGGTGTTGTGTTGTGTGTGTGTTGCTGTTGTGTGTGTGTGTGTTGGGGTAAGCATGCGCGCGTCTTGTTTATTTTTATTTTCATATGTACGTATAATAATGTACTCATTATGCATCTTGATAATATCCAGCAGTGAATAATAATAGATGTAATTATTATTCACTCTTGATAACATGAATATACGTGCTCTGGTGTATCCGGTACCCATAAAAATAGTACAGATAAACCATCTATACTATTTCTATTCGTGTAGTACCTAATATATATATAAATAAATAAATAAATAAATATATATATATATATATATTATATATATAATATATATACTATATATATATATATATAAATATAATATATAAATAAATAAATAAATAAATATATATATATATAGTATATATATATATATATCACTTTGCTAACAATAAATCTAGCTATCACAGGATCATATAAAGATATATATATATTTAAATAAATATTAATTTATGATAAAGATAGATATAGAAATTGATTCATATTATATTCACTCCTGTTATAATGTAAATAGTCAACTCTAGTACAACTATCCTCGTTTTACGAGTAACAAAGGACGCTACCACCAGGTGGCGCTATTGGATGTCAACATTTTTGCGTGCCGAATTCCTGTTTCATATAAGCTCAGGACAAAATATTATACACGGTTTATCCTATTGAGTATTGTACTATTTTACTATGTAAAATATGACTTAGATATGGCGCGGAATAAAAAGCGCGCTAACCCCAAAATGATGCCATTGGTAAATACAGTGTGAAATTACTAACATAAATGTTACAACTACAACTAGATTCCTAGCTTCTCTTTTTCAGTAGTGACTCAGTCAGTACATTACTCACTAACTAGTACGGTAGTAGTCTACAGCACGCGTGTATATATGACGGCTTTGTGTGCAGTGAGCGCTCCATAGTAGGGCTAATGTTTTGTGTCTAGACTGTTGTATTTGACACTTTAAACATTTATTGCACGACGAGCATTGATCTGCATGTCTTGGAAGTTGGAGTGTGACAATCACATTATTAATTTATTACTACTACTACTAGTACTATTATATTTATAGTATTAAGTACTATTATATCAATTTATGTTATAATGTGTACAACATTTGTCATTGCTTCGGGTGCTGAATTTGCCATGGTACTGCCTATGCCTGGCATATATACCTGGTGTATAGTGTGATATATTGTTACGTGTACTTACTACTTGTAGTTGTACTCTTAGTAGTCTTACCTAGGGGTAGCTCTAGTAGTAGTAACTATAGCCCGCGTACAGTTGAGTTGCCGCTGCCAGCGGCAACTGTACGCGGGCTATAGTTACTAGAGCTAACCTAGGGGGACCAGGCTGAGTGTGAGACTAACGAGTAAAATCAATACACATGTCTTTTGATGTATGCCTAGCTGTTTCTTGGATGTTTGTATTATATGTATATATTTATTTTCTATTCAATTGATTAATTATATATATATATATAGAGAGAGAGATATACTGCAAATGTCCACTGTTAAGTTTATTGTGTTTTTTAGTCTGCTGTACTTGTAAAGTTGTGCCAAATGTTGTCTGAACATGTAACTTGTTTATACTTATGGTTATGTATATTTTGAAGTCAAATCACGAACATATTTAGTAACCAGTAAACTTATTTACATCTGTAAGGGTGGTATCCTATGGCAGAATAGAAATATGTCACTTGTCAATTCTATACTTCATATGTAAATTATTGAACTTTAGTAATCTAAAGTTCTCATCTTCTCAGTTTAATATATGATCATCTCGTTTGGGGATATAATTACAGGCTCACATTGGTGCTTCCATAATACCAAGATCAATTTTTGCTGCGGCACCACGCATACCTCCTCCTGCTTTTCCACTGGCACCGAAAACAACAGTCATTCACACGGCATTGTTGAATGCAACCTTTCTACCAAGAGCTCTTGTTACACCTCCAAGGCACTATAACAGGAGAGGGTCCACCACAGAGCCAACTACACCTGCCCAATTGGTTGAAAGTGTTGATAGGTATATTTATATAAAAAAAGTAAATAATATCTACTAGATAAGATTAAAGGAATATTGGAATTATGCAAATATCGATATGATAAACATTCACTGTTAAGGCTGCTATCTGTCTAGAAATATGATATTTTATTAATTTTCTTACCAACAGACCATATAATGTAGTAACTTCTATAATAAAATAATCACCTTTTCAGTGATACACATCTTTTGGAACTATAGATTGCATTGCTTTTTAAAATAGAGAAAAAACGGAAAGTCATAAGATAGCTATTAATAGCATATATTAGTTGTTGTGGTCAAAATTTATTATGTTTGACTTTCATAGTGATTGAAAAATAGGCAATATGACCATATTTAATTATATCCATGCGCTGCAACTTTCTTTACTAGAATAAATATGGGTAATATAAATGTATAATTGTATTTTAGAACATTGCATCAAATAGCACCTGAAGAGGATGAAGCACAACCTGCAAGTTTAGAGATGTCACATAGGAGAACCGCTGTTGTAGAACATTCCACGAGAAAGGTAAAAACATCTCAGACGTAATAAGATAAGAGTATAAGCTTTTAAAAGGATCACTAGAATTTTGTTTGTACTATCTTAAGGTTTAATTTGGTATATTTCAGAGATTGGAGTACCATTTTGGAGCTAGTACACCTAGTGACACGGAGGGTATGAGTCCGATGAGTTCAGGCAGTGAATCCCAGTTAGCCGAGGTATATTTATAGTGTTTGCATTGTATAAAAATTATATATGTTTTCGAGTTTGATGTGTCTTCAATTCTAGCAAGGAAATTTAGTACAGTGGGTACTGACTGGGTAGCAGTGTACATGACCACGTGGCAGGGGCATTTGGTAAAGAAGGAATGTGTTTTGTCACTCACTACTATAAGTTTTGCAGGAAAGAGCATGAAATCTGGACATGGTCTTCATTCTAGTGGCAAGGACACCCATTGGTTAGAAGCCCATGCCATGCCTAACACTTTCCTTCCCTAGGCAATTGGCCGGCCATACACTAATCAAAGCTCCAGCTTGTACTTCATACTCACATATAACTAATGGAGTTATGCTGCCTAATCTGTTATTTTCTAACCTGCATAAGCAGTCAAATAGTAGCAGTTGAAATATTTTAATTCTTATCTAGTAGACTGGCTATTATTACTTCTTTTTACAGATATATGCTGAAATTAAAAAGCAACCAAATATACATTCCAAACCACCAATAGTAACTGAAGATGATGTTCAGAACAAAGGTACGTAAAATTACCTTAAATTGATTTATTACCTTATTTTATATGGTAATATTTCTATGAACAATTTATTCATATCATTAGTTCAAAAAAATAATGTCAGATGTTGAATCTCATTTGGCAGCCTTATTATTTATCACAGAGGACTCTACCATGAAGCAAGAGCGTGCAGTAATTGCTGCAAAATCTGAATCCAGGAAGCAGTGTCTAGAATTGGAAACGGAAAATGAGGAACATTGCAACGAGCCGCCCACAGTCCAGCCACATTCAGGTGTCTATAAAATATATAACCTGTACTTTACACTCATTATGGTCAACTTGACATAAACTAAGTACTAATATATAAACATATAAATTTGGTGTTTGGAGTAGGAAAAATCGAGTACATCCAACCAATTTGCCTTTTTAGTACACACAAAAGTTGGGCACTATAGAAAATGTTTCCAGCTGTGAACGTTTATTTGAATGGAGTAGAATTGTAAAAAAAAGGGTTTAATGCAGCAATTTAACCATGAAGATTTCACAAATTCCACATAACTGTTGATAGTCAACAAATTATATGTTACTGTTGATATTAATCAAATTCATGTAACTGTTGATAGTTTATAATTTGTGTACAGAATTTACTAGTTCTGTAAAAGGTGAATAGTCAATTTAAATCTATGTGCATTGATAGTAATTTCTTGTTCTCTTTTTTTTTAGATTTTCAAGTGACCAAAGTGGAAGTGGACCAGGATGATCAGCATCATCTGTTAGAGGAAAATGAAGTGCTCCGGTCCACAGTATATAGCCTGCACGAAGAACTAGGCAGACACAATGATAAATACAGACTTCCACACAAGGACAGCATGGTAAACTATATTATACCATGTGGTTGCTAGTGTTATTAGCTGATAATTAGCACACATGACATACCAAACACATACATACATAAAAAATAAACTTCTCATTGTATGGCATTGTCAACCCCGCCATTGTGGAACTAGTTTAATTCTGCTATGAATATTTTATAGTTGCAAATTTTTTTTTTTAGAACTTGGATGCATCCTTACCTCTAGCTTCCTCATTGCCACAACGACAGGTATGTTTTAGTATTCTTGTATTACATATGTATAGGGTGCAATCCAAACGCGTAGCCAGGGGGGATCCTGGGCCCTAGGACCCCCCCATCAAAACCAAAATTTTAAAAAACAATGTTTTTCTCTATTTTCTTATTCTCTTAGAAAGCGCGTAGCTGGCCTAATCCTGGCCTCGTTAAAAAAATTACAATTACAATTTTAATTATCAGATAGGCCTTATATATTTTTAGCTCATCTGACATAGTCAGATGCAGCTTGTAGAATCGCTTGATCGTCCGTGCGTCCGTCCGTCCGTGCGTCCGTCCGTGCGTCCGTCCG